CCGTGGCTGCTCGTAGACGAGACGACGCTGACGAGGCCTTCGGACCCGCGGCGGTCGCGCGTCGGTGTCGTGAACTCGGTCTGCCGCTTGGGCGTTGGCGTCGCCAGCGCGTCGGCGTCGTACAGATAGATGCCCTTGCCACTGTCCATGCGAACGTCAAAAGGGATTGTACTAGCGTCGTAGAGCGCGAACGAGACAGCAACACCGCCTGTCTACAAAGGGCAATCTGGGACGTAGAGGTGGGGTGGTGGACCACAGTACAAGTAGCTAGCGATCGCATTCGAAGAACCTGTTGGATATGGCAGCTGAGATAGTACTGCGGTACAGCCGCCTGCAACGGGTGTCCCTTGGCCAGCATTTGGCGCGGCAGGCAAGAGCCAAGATGACCTTTGGACGTCAACCCTGTGCTGGTGACAAAGGGTGCTTTGTTGAAGCGCGCCCGACGTCTTCATGGAATACAGTAAGCGGGAAGAAGGGATCCTGGAAAGGCTACTGTGCGTGGGATACCGCGCTTGCAACAGGAGGGAACCGACTGGAGTGATTAATGTACTCGAACGTACTACAGTCGACCGTGGGATTCGAAGGCGCAGGATCAAATTGCGGTTCTTGCACCTGCTGCTGAACACTCAAGCATTGTGCCTCTTCCAAATGATGGCCGCCCTGCGGCACGACGCATGGCTACGCGACAACTTTGTTCCGGCATGTGCCGTTTACACGCCACGTCTCCCGCTCGGCTAAGCCTCTCGGCGGCCGGCTCATCGTAGCACCTTGGAATCGATAGTCCACCACCATATCCAGTTCAGTGTAAATTATATCTAAATAGACTCACTTCAACAACAAAAAAATTGCGGTTCTTGCCGCTGTGAGCTACATGGTGTCTATCCTAAACGCCATTTTTGCATCCACACCAACGCATTGCAGTCGGCACGTGAGTCGACGCAGCTGGCACATCATATCATCGAGAAGGTGGCTGCGATCACGCAATAATACGTAGAGGCGGCCATACTCCGATGACGCGTCGTCCTAGCAGCGACGTCTCGTCCTCGCCAACGAAATTCGACGCGCAGTTTAAGATTTTACCTGCAGTCTCTCGCAACGCATGGAGACCATCTGCTGACAAGTGTCTGTTGGTCACGACCAGCAGCTGTCGCACGCACGTGACCGCACACCGTAGTCACACATCCCCGCGTCGTCTGCCAGACGTGGCTGCTTGGCCACGTAGCTTGAAGCCGCCTTGAAGGGCTTCAAGCTTCGTGGGTGCAGCGCGACTCACGTCCAACGATACGTTTATATTTCATCGCGACCGTCAAATCCAACACAGCTGGTCGTTCGTTGGCAGTACAAGCGGCTGGCGCTTGCTGCTGTGAAAGTGACTTGCTGTTGGACATTCTGTGCACGTTCAACTGCTTTTGATGGCGGCCTCTCGACTCGTACCGTGATGCGGCTGACGGCAACGGTGGCGAGGCGTCGTAGGGATGGCGCGAGCTGGATTCCGTGGTCGCAGGCGTCGTGGTGCTTGCCGTCATTATAGACACCATCATGTGCGCAATAGCATTCAAGCTCTATATACTCGTTCACGTAAACCACCGTGCGAAGACGCTGGGACTACTGGCTGTCGAGCTCCATGGCACTTGGCGCAACATCCGATGTATGCAGCTACTTGCGGCTCGAAAACTTGCTCACGGCGTCCAAGCACTCGGGCGAGAGCCAGAGCTTCTGGAGCACTTTGCATTCGGTCCTACCACCCGATCGACCATGAGTACTCCGAAGCGCCCTACTTGTTGACAGCTTGGAGCGTCGCGAGGTCGATGCCACGGATGAGCGCCTTGGACTGCTTCATCGAGTTGGGGTATGCCTTGGCCAGCGTCCTAGTGGATAATGCTTACTGTCCACACGGAAAAAATCACACGCCGTACTGCACATGGCCCGCGACCTGCGCTTCAAAGTCGGCGCCATAGACTTCCGTGACCAACCCACGCTGCGCCGCCTACTCACACCCAGAGAGAGAGAGAGAGTTCAACCAACGAGCTAGCGACGATCAGCGTATACCGTCGACGCCGAGAGCTTTTGGCCGAGAAGAAGCATCGCGTTGGCGTGCGTGCGGCCCATGAGCGCGGGGAAGACCACCGACGAGCACGCTTCGGGGGCTTGGCCGAGGGCTGTGAACGGCGTCTGGAACGTCGCGCGTTCGTGGGCAAACACAAAGTCGCAGAGGCCGAGCATCGTGACCGCAATGCCGATCGCCGGCGCGTGCACCGCGGCAACGATCGGCTTGTTGCACGTCAAGAACGCATCCACGAAGCGCTCGAGGATCTTGGCCGCGTCGGCCGCGAG